CCACACATCAAATATGTAAGAAATTATTACATATGCAATGCATTAAATTCATTCACTCTGATTTGATAGTTCATGTTTACAGAACAGATGGATTGAATTAAGACTTTCTAGGTATGCTTACTTCTGAATGCATTTAATACATGGAGTTTACGCTGCCATCTCCGCACGTAATGCCTATATCCCGATGGCAGTAAGATCATCTCTTCAGAAGTCTACTGCATCCACTAAGAACCGGGATATATGCCACAATAAATGCTGCAAATGCAGGCTCCTGTTTTTCACATCTAGCAGAACGTGTGCTGAGGCAGTTACCCCCCGATGTATTCCTACCTGAACACGTAAGCCCACCTCATTTGGAAGTCTGCTTTCTAAACTGCAGCAGATAAATAGTGGCAAATTAGAGGGGCTCGAGAAGCTGATATAGGAAACATACTGATGCAATGAGAAATGACAGCTGACAATGTGTCCTCACATGAGAAAACAGAAAATCTATAAAACACACAGCCTTTCAAAAGCATTAGCTGGGCTGGGACCCGCTAGCGCTAGTGTGATCAGTAAATGACAAAGCAACCAAACAGTCCATAAGGGCGTCGCTGTATCATAGAACAGAGTGCAATAATAGATGTGCCAGAGGACCATCTTCACCCACTAGGAAAGAGGATGGACCGCTGAGTGCGTTAGAAAACTCAGCCCTCTGACAAGTTTCTTTCCTGGAGTTCCTGGTAATTAAGATTGGAAAATATTCTCTTAAACCACACAAATTAGTAATTGATTATATAAGTGGACCCTTTGAAGTGATTAATTTGTTGATAAAGTCTCAATGAGAGATACACATAATAGGTTACTAATAAAGATCACCTGCACATGAATATGAACATGACTTTATGACTTTCTTCCCAAAGATTTCAGAGGAGAGATGGCTTTAAGATTTAAATTTACCTAGGCTTGTCGGGTCTTATACTCCTCAGCCTGTTTATCTTTATAGCCGTGTACTTGTACTTGTGATACAGAAAAAAAAAGGGCAAGTGTTCTATGGACTTTGTAGAGAAGGGACTCTGTACATGCCTGTATGCCATTAAAAGTAATCATGTAATAATTGTGAAGTTATGTGCTGTATAGATTCCTTAGCAATGAACTACCATAATCCCTTCAAAAGTTAATGTGTACTAAATACATCCACATTTGCTTTTGTTTTTAAGTCATTATAAATAAGCACACTTTCATATTTTCATTAGGACATTGCTCCCATAAGGAAAAAATGTCAAATGGACTAATGAAAGAAGACAGGATGCTATTGAGCTAGGATGAAGTCCCACTTTATTGTGATTGCCATTATCATCTGTTATTTGGTTCTTGGCTCTCTGTTGTAATGTAATATATATTGTTGATATGGTCCACACTTTCTGCACCTTAGGATGAATATGGTGAAAACAGTTTTGTGAAAAGATGTTGCTAGCATGGTAGCAAGGGACATTGGAGCTACATTGGAGGGTGAAACAATTACTCCGGCCATGCCCGAATACCCTTTTGCTCTTCTCAACTCAGATATATCATTTTTCCTTTGAAAAAAATCTGTTATTTATGACTTTCATGTTCAGTTTTTAATCTTGGCAAACCTAGCTACTCTTGCTGTCTGAAGATGATGTTTGGGACCCCCTGTGAGCTGGAATTTTGGTTTAATTGTTTTTCCCATTAATAGTGATGGATTTGCACGGATTTAGCCACACGGTGGTTTCCAGTTTCATTTGTATCCAGTGGCATGTGTTTGCAAAGGTAATGGATTTGCAGCTGGAGACCGTTGCAAAGCCATCTGCTACACAAAGAGTCCACGACCTGCGACCTCAGCTTGATTAACTTGGTCCTGTACACATCTATCCCAGAGATTATTTCATTTTAGCCTGTGGATTCTTTGAGTGTTTATATTTGATTTCCAAGACTAGCTTTTAAGGAAAACAATGTGCTTCGAGCTTACTGCTTGTGAGTAGTACCTGGACTGATGAGGGTGCAGCAGTTAGTAACAGCTTTTGTGGGTGCTGGTGCAGACCCTACGGCGTTCGTGTTTAGAATAAGAGCCTATAACTTCGAATTCTCTGTCACTTGTTGTTTTCAAAAGGAAGTGAGGTGTAACCACTGCCCAAATAGCCTCTGCTGAAGAGCTGTTTGTTTTGCAAGTTAACAAACCAGAAAGGGTAAGGGACAGGGTACCTCTCTAAAATGTTGTGTGGGCGCTCATCATTTCAACTGTTGCTACAGAAAGGAAGTATTACTTTCACGAACAAAACACACTGGCTTAATCATTTTCCACTTCTGAATGATGAACGTGTCACACATCTGTATATGTTTTTCTCAAAGTAAATGGCATACTATATGTTTGAAGTGAAGAGGCTTTACTGTGGAGTTGCCAAGGTAACTGGCCAGCAAGCAGTTCAGCAGATTGCAGACAGGCATTAGAGGACACATGAATAAAGAAAAGCCTGTGTCATCGTAAAGCCCAGGAGGCCCATGCTAGATGGTAGCTTGGTTCTGTAGATTGCAGAAATGCCTTTCATGGAAACAGACTGAGGTAGATGTGCCAAACTTGTCCTCGAACTGAGGCGTTATTGCAGTAGCAGGTACCTTTTCATGGTTCCACTTTAGGACCTGCCAAGAGCTATATAGAAAATAGAATCATTTCAATATTATTTAATTAATAACCTTCCCTTTTGCTTGTAAGCTTGCTTTTGCCACCTTATGACAGCCGACACTAAGGGAAACGGTTAGTAATTAGTAATGTAAATGGAGGAGGGTAACATGTAAACTGCTACACACCCATGAGAATTTGTTACACAATTGAAATTTAAATGGAATATTATATATATTTAATCCATAAACATGAGACCTATGTTTACCTCAACAGTGTTTTGTATTAGAATATATTCATCTGTTCACTAGGCACTGGTAACGTTATTCAAATATGCCAGATACCTTCTAGGTGCCGAGAAAATAATGAAGGTAAATAAAATTCAGAGCTGAACTTCAAGGTGTTTTTAATCTCTAGAAAGAATAAATTAGATTAGCTCTGAAGAGATCCCTTTAGATTATTCGAAATATTTCTGTGCTTTGGATATAAACTCCTCTTTACATATAGAATGAAATAACTGCTCAGCAGGAGTTCACAACTCTGCATAATTTGTCCGTCTTCCCAGTTTTTCTCCCCCTACCTTAAATATACCCCAAGATCTAGCACCCCTGGTTTAATTCCCTTCCTTGAAAGAACCCCACGCAACTCCGCAATTATATCGTGTATGTGTGTTCGATGCTGCAATGCCCGAATTCCCCGTCTCTGAGTTTCAGAACCTTGCTAGTACTTTAGAAGCCATATTGAATTCTACTTTTCCCATAAATCTTTTCCAATTCTTTCTGGCTTTGTTGCTGGTAATCATGTTCCCAGGTATTGCCAGAGCAGCATACTCCTCTGGATCATACCAAGTTAGGTGGACATTGGTCCCCCAAACCAGATGGTGAGCTCGTGGAAGGCAGGGACCAGGTTGCCTTCATTGCTGCATTCTCCATAGCACCTTGTATTCCAGGGGGTGTTGTGGAATTCAGCTGCTGAAGAACCTCAAATTCTATCCTCACAGTTCTAGGACTCTTACACTAACGTTTTTTGAGAATGGGCCCATTTCCACTGGTGAGGAAGTTGTTCTTGGGGAGAAGTTTGGTATTCTGAAGGCCATGGGAAGACTACTTATGAATACTCGCACCAAACAAGGCAGGAAGGGACGAGTCTCCCTGAAGACCTAGTTTGAACCCAGCCTGCTGCTTCCTTCCCTCGGTGACATGGCCTTTGAAGTTGTGTGTTTCGTAGTAAAGCTATGGATCTGCGTGAAGCTACAAGCCAAATATTTTAGTTTAGTTTTACATTTTTGGCAGCCATCCACAGAACCGCAGGGACAAGTTTTCACAGATAAAGAAACATTTTTGTGGGAGTTCCTATTTTGATGCTGAAAAATCTACTGTCAGCGATCTCGCTATCCAGGGCTTTTAGTTAGTTGTGAGCCTGAAGTAAGCAGCGTTGGGGTTCCTAAGGTTAATTACTCCATTTACAAATCCATCAGTGAGTAAGAGAAAGAACTGGCCTGATAGAGTTTATCTGTTTAAAAATTGCAGCCACTAGCCAGTCAGGAAGATAGAAAACCAAAAGAGATTGTAGAGGTGACAAGGGTAATGGCAGTAATGTGTTGGTGGAGATGCTGATATCGGAGGAAAAACAATAGGTGGAAAACTAATCAAACCAATTTGGCCATTTTAATGCACTCCCATCATATATCTTAAGTAACCAGTGAATCATGAAATCTACCCCATTTCACTGAAAGCAATTATTGGCACTGAATTTTATTATGTAATTGATATCACTTATTTAGGATGTAGGTTTATATTGAGTGAGTTATAAAATGTCAAGATCAGGTAAAATGGAATAAATCAGTTCTAGGAGAGAGATGAGAAATAACACGTATAGAAAAAGTATCAACGCATTTTTTAATCAGTATATATGAAAGTTGCCTTACATAGATCGATGGTGTTATACACTCTGATGTGCTTTGTCTAGCAAACAATACAGCATAGATTCTGACCATTTAAAACTTACACTTCATATTTTGCTTTGGGAAAAAAAAACTGTAGCAATTAGGTAGTTGGTCAGTTCTTATGATGCATTTTGCTGGTAATAATTGCAATGAAATCACCAAAAAGATGTTATGAATGTTTTCACTATTTAATAACAATTTAAAACATTAAAATGTGCCTAATTTTGTTTACACGGTATTTTAAAAGTCTCTAAACATGTCAAGTCGGAAGAGTTAGTTGTTTGATGTTTTGTTCTAAAATCACTTCCCTTTAAAACAAATTTCTTAACAATATGTTGCATGTTGCTTTAGTTTTCCCTTCCTTACAGGGTAAGTGAATTGTCAAGAGCATATCTCATTATTTGTCAATCTCCTTTCTTCCCTCTTCGTTTTCAGTGTACACCATCTTCTCGAAGGTGCACTCTGATCGCGATGTGTACCCATCTGCTGGTGTCCTCTTTGTTCATGTTTTGGAAAGAGAGTCTTTTAAGGGAGAATTTCCACCTTACCCCAAACCTGGTATGTCTTCAATGGGGGGACAAAGTGATTGATTTACTACATTTTCCTTTCTGTTCAGTATGTATAATCTAGGTGACATATGATAAGACATTGTTAACATTTGAAATGGTTTGGGTGCATGATAAATTGGTCATTGTAGGCTATTTTCCATCCTAAGGTTATAAATTTAATTGCAGAAGGAAATAATTCATTTTTGATTTTGAAGAAAGCATATTTTTGGTTTCCCAATCTTGAGCTTTGTGCTTCTGACAAATGATGTACCTGTATTTGCATAGAAATAATTATAGTTATATAATTATGACTTTCATGTTAAAACTTCGAATCTTACATAGTACATTGATTTTTAGAAACCTATACATATGTTATAGAAGAAAATGAACTATGGTATTAAGAAAGTTCTTAAAAAAGCTTTTATAATATGAAATAATTTTATATAAAAGATTAATTTTTCCTTTAAAGTAATACCAATTGCAAAGTCTTATTTGACTCACTATTGGCTTACATTTTTGTGACAAATGCTATGAACTCAATGAAGACATAGAAAGACTGGCAAGAAAAAATGTATTAAATTATTATAATTTTTAAGTAACAAATAAAAATGAATTTTCTGAAAATTAGAGCATTATAATTAGTATGAACACTATTTTTGTATATTATATAATGAAAAGCATACCTGAAAACAGTCATAAAATATAGTTAACCATGTTATCAACAGCATTCTAGAATAAAAGGTAGTATTTTTATCAGTTACTTAAAAAATGTTTTTTAATGTGGTATTCTATGTTGCAAAACTATTTAGCTAAACCTTTGAGCAAACTCTAATATTTGAGAAGCAAACATGTAGTTAAAAGCATAGTTTCTGGAGTCAGCCAAGATTAAATTCTAGTTTTACCACATAACATGACCACAGAGAAGTTACATAGCATGGAAAACTACAGATTTCATCAACAAGATTAGGGCTAATGATAGTACTACTTTTATAGGTATGTTTCAAAATCAGATGAAATACTGTAGTGCCTGTAAAATCTAGGTACAGTAACAGGGCCAGGTACATGCTAATAAATGATGCCATTATTATTATTTATCATTAGTAAATGTTGTCATTATTACAATTCTTTTGGATTTGTAACACTTTTTTTCAACTCATCCTCCATTGTTTTAAAATTACATCATTTTTGTTTTAAAATAATATTTTTATAATTTTGAGATATTCCTTAAGATTAGTTTGATAGTGTCCAGAGTTTCATGAAAGAAAGGCTTCACAAGAAATGAACACCTCAACATGATTGGGAGATTTTTCTGAAAGATAGTTATCTTATTGGTAAAACTTTCCCACTCCTAAGTGACCAAAATAAGAAAAAAGAAAAAGAAAAGAAAAATTCCTCTGAAGTTGTATGAATTTGCTTTCTTTGTTACATTAGATTTCTAGACAAACGGAACAACCAAAAGGATTTTTTCTTTACATGAGGCCCTAATCTGAATTCCCAGATGGATTTGGCTTTGTGTGTGTGTATTTAGTTTGCTACAAATGTAAAAAAAAAATTTTAAGACAGAAATATTTTGATTGAAACTACCAAAGCAACATGTGTGAAAATAACTAACTTGTATTTTAATTCTGTGTTTCTTATCTAGGAGAGATTAGTAATGATCCCATAACATTTAACACAAATTTAATGGGTTATCCAGACCGACCTGGATGGCTTCGATATATCCAAAGGACACCGTATAGTGATGGAGTCCTGTATGGGTCTCCAACAGCTGAAAATGTGGGGAAACCAACAATCATTGAGGTAATGTCTTAGAATGAGCAAAATTGTATATATATATATTTTTTGGTAATTTGAGTTTCAAATTTTGGAATTAAAATTACAAGGCAATAGTTTCCAGTATTTTATGCACGGAAACACTGTAGATTGCATTTGGAAATGTACCATTCCTTTCTGTGAATTTCCAAAGTCTTTTATATTAAATTTATTGGGGTGACATTGGTTAATAAGATTAGATTGGTTTCAAGTGTATATTTCTATGATACAGGATCAGTATATTGCATTGTGTACCCACCATATATTTGGCCCCCAATACCCCTTCCCTCTGTTGTCTGTGTCTATGAGTTTCAGTTTTATATCCCATATGTGAGTGAAATCATATGGTTCTTAGCTTTTTTTGACTGACTTATTTTGCTTAGCATGACAGTTTCAAGGTCCATCTGTGTTGTTGCAGATGGCAGTATTTCATCTTTTCTTATGACTCAGTAGTATTCCATTGTATATATCTACTACATCTTCTTTATTCAATCATCTATCAGAGGACATTTTGGTTGTTTCCATGTCTTGGCCACCGGGAATAATGCTACATTGAACAAAATGGGTGCATATATCTTTTTGAATAAGTGTTTTCAAATTTTGGGAGTGGGTGCAGAGAAGAGGGATTGCTTGGTCATATGAAAACTCTCTTTTTAATTTTCTTAAGGAACTTCCATACTAGTTTTCTATAGTCGCTATACCGGTTTACATTCCCACCAACAGTGAATGAGGGTTCCTTTTTCTTCTCAACCTCTTCAACACTTATTATTACCTGTCTTGTTGATAATAGCAATTCTAACAGGTGTGAGGTGGTATCTCATTATAGTTTTGATTTGCATTTCCCTAATAGCTAGTGAAGCTGAACATCTTTTCATATATCTGTTTGCCATTTGTATATCTTTTTGGGAGAAGTGTCTGTTCAGGTCCTCTGCTCATTTTTAAGTGGGAATGTTTGGTGTTGAATTGTATGAGTTTGTTATATATTTTGGTTATTAATCCCTTGTCAGGCTGTTGTTTACAGGTATCTTCTCCCATTAGGTTGCCTGCCGTTTTGTTTTGTTGGTGGTTTCTTTGGATGTGCACAAGCGTTTTAGTTTGATATAGTCTCATTCATTTATTTTTGCCTTTACTTCCCTTGTCTTTGGGGTGAAATTAATAAAGTCTTCTCTAAGACCCAGTTCCATAAGTTTAGTACCGATGTTTCTTCAATGTAATTTACTGTTTCAGATCTTATATTTAGGTCTTTGATCCTAAATATATTTGAAATAATTTCTGTACATGGTGACAGATTATAGTCCAGTTTCATTCTTTTGCATTTGGCTTTCCAATTTTCCCAGGACCACTTATTGAAAAGGCTTTATTTTCTTCATGGTATGTTTTTGGCTCCTTTGTCAAAAATTATTTGCCCATACACATGTGGTTTGGGAGTTCTTAATCTGGTTCCATTGGTGTGTGTCATTTCAGTTTTTTTCTCTCAGCTTTTATATAAAAAAAAGGGCAATCCAAATTAGTGGAAAAAATTAAGACATTTAAAAGAAATAGATTACTATAATATGAATTATATTTAAGAAAATAAGTGCAAACTTATCTGCTCCTTATTTTAATTTCAAATTTCATGTTCACTGAAATACAGTCATTATGCAGATATTTTATGAACCTCTCTTATGTACTGAGCATTAGGATAGGTGCTGGTGATATAGAAGGATGAATAACAGGTGAGTCCAGGAGTTGGAGCACTGAAGTGGAAACGCCTATTTAGCCAACACAACATAACTGTTATAATAACAAGGTGCTGTTTGATGAAGAGTTGTAAGAGGGTAAATAGGAATTCACTTCACAAAATAGAAGGAAGGCTGTCTTAGGCAGAAGAAACAGTGCATCAAAACATTGAAGGTATTGACAACCACATCTGTCTCATGTGGAACAATGGTACATATCTGAAGAGATGGTGCCACATGTCATCAGGTCATTGGAGAAAGGATACCTATTTATTGAATGGGACTCAGACAATTGGTTAGCTATATGGCAAGCATAAAATTAGATTCTTACTTCATCGGAAATATCAAACTCAAGTCTAGATTGAGGATTTAAATGTGAAAAGCAAAATTTTAAGCTATTATATGATAGTATAAAAGAATTTTCTGAGTTTGGGGTAGGGAAGGAGTTCTTAAATAATAACTAACCATTTTTATTTAAGAGAAAAGGTTGATAAATTTTTGCTATATTAAACTTGTGAACTTCTGTTCACCAAAGAAGCCATTAAAAAAAAGACAACAAGAACCAAGATGGCGGCATAGGCTAACGCCGGAGTTTGCTGCTTTGAACAACTACTTCAAAAGTGAAACCAAAAAACGGAAGGGACATCACCCAGAACCACAGGAACGCTGGCTGAGTGGAAGTCCTACAACTAGGAGGAAAGAGAAACGCATACGGAAACTCAGAGGAGGCGCAGTGCTAAAGTCAAATTCTGAGGTGCGGAGTGCGTGAGCGGGCTGGCGGCGGAGGGCGCGGTTGGCGTTTTCAATCGGGAGGGAGTCGCAGACTCTGAGCTCCAGATCCGGGCGAGTCTTTAGGGACCCAGACTCAAACGGGAGAAGCGGGACTGTCTGGCTTCCGTCAGAGCGAGTGCAGCTTTCTCTCTGAGCTTTGCAGCGGGTGCTGGGACTCAGAGAGGCAGGACTGAGAGCCGCCATAACTGCTCTCTCCGGCCCACCCTGTTGATCCTGTTCGACCCGCCCCGCCCAAGCCCTGCACACAGGCATTTGCCGGATAGCCTCAGGCAAAGGCTAGATTAGCACCTCCCTAGAGGACAGAAGTTCTCTCACTGCTGACACAGCTGATTCTCATAGCCACTTGGCCTGGAGGTCAAACCCTCCCTGGAATTAGCTACAACAATCAAGATTTAACTATAAGACTGCGAACAAAGACCACTAGGGGGTGCACCAAGGAAGCATAACAAAATGCGGAGACAAAGAAACAGGACAAAATTGTCAATGGAAGATATAGAGTTCAGAACCACACTTTTAAGGTCTCTCAAGAACTGTTTAGAAGCCGCCGATAAACTTAATGAGATCTACAAGAAAACTAATGAGACCCTCCATCTTATATTGGGGAACCAACTAGAAATTAAGCATACACGGACTGAAATAACGAATATTATACAGACTCCCGACAGCAGACCAGAGGAGCGCAAGAATCAAGTCAATGATTTGAAATGCGAGGAAGCAAAAAACACCCAACCGGAAAAGCAAAATGAAAAAAGAATCCAAAAATGCGAGGATAGTGTAAGGAGCCTCTGGGACAGCTTCAAGCGTACCAACATCAGAATTATAGGGGTGCCAGAAGATGAGAGAGAGCAAGATATTGAAAACCTATTTGAAGAAATAATGACAGAAAACTTCCCCCACCTGGTGAAAGAAATGGACTTACAGGTCCAAGAAGCGCGGAGAACCCCAAACAAAAGGAATCCAAAGAGGACCACACCAAGACACATCATCATTAAAATGCCAAGAGCAAAAGATAAAGAGAGAATCTTAAAAACAGCAAGAGAAAGAAACTCAGTTACCTACAAGGGAATACCCATACGACTGTCAGCTGATTTCTCAACAGAAACTTTGCAGGCCAGAAGGGAGTGGCAAGAAATATTCAAAGCGATGAATACCAAGAACCTACAACCAAGATTACTTTATCCAGCAAAGCTATCATTCAGAATTGAAGGTCAGATAAAGAGCTTCACAGATAAGGAAAAGCTAAAGGAGTTCATCACCACCAAACCAGGATTATATGAAATGCTGAAAGGTATCCTTTAAGAAGAGGAAGAGGAAGAAAAAGGTAAAGATACAAATTATGAACAACAAATATGCATCTATCAACAAGTGAATCTAAGAATCAAGTGAATAAATAATCTGATGAACAGAATGAACTGTTGATTATAATAGAATCAGGGACATAGAAAGGGAATGGACTGACTATTCCTGGGGGGGAAAGGGGTGTGGGAAATGCGGGAAGAGACTGGACAAAAATCGTGCACCTATAGATGAGGACAGTGGGTGGGGAGTGAGGGCGGAGGGTGGGGCGGGAACTGGGAGGAGGGGAGTTATGGGGGGAAAAAAAAGAGGAACAAATGTAATAATCTGAACAATAAAGATTTAATTAAAAAAAAAGAAAAAAAAAAGACAACACACAAACAGGAAGGATATATACATATGTGTATATATATACACACACACATATATATCCCACAAAGCAATGGTGACCCAAAAGTTCATCAGCAACAGAATAGATAACTAAATTGTGGAGTAATTAGTCACACAGTTAATGTTTACAGCAACACTGAACTTAATCTTGCCCAGTCTCATGGATAAATGTTTTAAACATAATGTTGAATAAGAAAATACCAGTCCCAGAAGATTACATACAGCTTACCATTTTTTATAAAGCTCAAAAAACAAGCAAATTAAATATTTTAAGCATACATGCATTTATAATAAAGCTATTTTTAAAATGAAGGTGATGATAAATACAAAATTCAAAATGGTATTTATGGTTGGAGAGAGGCAAGGGGCTAAGATAGAGAAATACATGTGTTGTGCGAGGATTCACAGGGGTTCATTATGTTCTTATACCTTATAACTAAGAGATAACATTATCAATATGTATCAAATAATATGCCAGAAATATAATGATGAAAATATAGCATATTTTTCATCTAGCACAAGTAGTAAAAAACTCATTTCTATATCCATATATAGTAATATATTTACAATTTTAAAATATTCTATTAGTAGTATAGTCAAAAAAGTTTTACATATCTTCAACTAATATATAATCATATAACTCTGCTTAATTTATTCTGTAGATATTTATTAAGCATCTGAATTAGATGAGCCACTCTTCTAAACATAGGGAAGCAAAAAAGCAGGCACCAAAAAACAAAACAAAACAACAACCCACAAAAGCATGCACACACATATACCTCAGTAAATTTGATTGAGATTAATACAGTATTTAAATATCTCATTAGAAGTGATAGGAGGACTGTATTCTGTTATAACTGTTAACATTAAACATTAAATATAAATTTAGATAATAAAATTATTCTTCCTAATTCATGGAATGGTTTTCACTCCCTATAGTAGCTGTGAATTTTTAAAAACAATCACATTACAATTCATGAAATTTACAATATTGAGATTTGTGATAATTAGAAAAGGCTACCCATAAAAATATTGCCATTCATTTGCAAATGTCTAATATTTCTTTCTGAGCTTTAACTTTGAGATATTACAACAAATAGTAGAAGATTGATGCTTTTTTTCTCAGTGAGAATGATTAAGTTTTTTGCAGGGTGAACTTTTAAAAGCATGAAAATTCCTAAATGAAATCTTTATTACATTTTTTTCATTTGCTTCTTTGTGAACAGAGTTCCTACTTCATTTTAATGACTAGTCTTTAGTCTTTATTTCATTGTTAATCTCATTAATCATGTGTCCAAAAAATATAGGTAGGAAGTCATTAAATCCAACAGAAATCCGACAGATTGTGGGGAGAGTTCTTTTAACTTTGTGTAATAGTCTGCTTTTCAAAATATATAGTTTTAAATATTATTAAAGGTTTGGAATTACTCCAAAATTTTGATTTTTACTGTATTCATAAATATTTCTGAGTGTAATTTATTTTATTTAAAGCTCTATGATGCTATGGAAATCTTTACTATTTGTTTTTATTTTTTAAAATTTATCTTTATTGTTGAAAGTATTACAGATGTCCCCCCTTTCCCCCACATTGACCTTCTCCCTCCCACTCCCGTCCCCTCCTCAGGCCTTCACTGCACTATTGTCTCTGTCCATGGGTTATGCATATATGCATACAAGTTCTTTGGTATTCATTTTAAAATGAGCAAGATATTTCTTTTATGAGTCAGTTTGTTCTACTTTTTTTTCTCAGTGTCAACCACAGCTGTAATCACTGTCAGAAGGCTGGTGCCGGGATGCTAAGACTTTGCACAATCTATTAGTTTTTGGGGTTTTTGAGGTACTGCAGACCTGTCTGAACGATTTCCTATCTGTCATAAAGTTAATTTTTCCTTGATTTTTGAACTATTATTCTGGTTTTGGCCTTCGCTTTGTTTGCTGTTTGCAGTGGCTATTTCTGAGTTGACTTTGATGTGAGGTCATTGGCTCTTCAAATGTTCACTAATATTTGACTGTACAAAGGGATTGATCTGTGTTTTTGAGCATGTGCCATAAGCTTTATAGACCATGACCCTTACTGTTTTACTCCCATCATAAGTGGAGATGTGATTTCCCAAGGGTTATTCATGACATTTTTTTTGACTGGTTGGTGTGCAAACAACACAGAGATGTGCTTGTTTTAATGTGTCCTTTCCAGTACAATCCTTAAGCTTCATTTAAAAGTACAAAAATAAAAGTTGTTTTGGTGTTTTTGAAATTTTACAATGGCACTGGTAAGTAATTCATAATGGTTAATCCATTTACTAATGGTACCTCTGCATTGTGATGAGCACTTAACGGTCTTCCGTGAAAGAGTCTCTCTGATTTTAACTTGTTTTGGCATGCTAAATAGACCTGACTAATGATTTCTCTTCCCATAATATTGCTAAAAGCTCTGAGTTCTTATTGCACAGAGAAGGAATATTTTGTAAGTATATAAACAAATCATGAAAATGGAAAGGACAGTATGTTTTCATTTTGTCCTTAATGAATTTTATTTTCCAAATAACATTTCACTTTTTTAATATGATTTTCATTTTCCGATAGATAACTGCCTACAATAGGCGTACCTTTGAGACTGCAAGGCATAATTTGATAATTAATATAATGTCAGCAGAAGGTAGGTATGAAAAAATGTGTTGCTGATTGCTTCTTTGTTTACAAGAATATTTCATTATATTTTATGTCTGTGTAAAATATAGTTAAAGATTTTAAAGTACCAGATATCTAATATAACTAATGAAATAGTAAAATGTAGAAAAGAAAACTAAGCAATATTTAATTTGTTATAAATACCATGATGTGTTAGGGCCATGGTCGGCAAACTGCGGCTCACTAGCCACATGCAGCTCTTTGGCCCCTTGAGTGTGGCTCTTCCTAAGCCTTAGGAGTACCCTAATTAAATTAATAACAATGTACCTACCTATATAGTTTAAGTTTAAAAAATTTGGCTCTCAAAAGAAATTTCAATCGTTGTACTGTTGATATTTGGCTCTGTTGACTAATGAGTTTGCCGACCACTGTGTTAGGTTGCCACTTATTTCTTCAGGCCTTGTTTTCCTTATCTGTAAAATAAAACTAAGAATAAAATTGCTCTTATCAGTCTGGGATACAGATTCCATGAATTAGGCATGAAATGTGCTTCACTTAGGACTGAGCACAGAGTACACAATCAGTAATTATTAGCTAGTTTCATTATTTTACTTTAAAACTTATCATAGTTTTTTTTGTATAGATAAGGAGTTATTGATGGACAGAAGTAAACTGTAATTTGGGTCACACACTACTTCCTAATAGCTAATCATGCATCAGTAATTGCCAGACTCCATCAGCAATTTAGAGTTACATATGCTCAAATTATAAGTGATTCCCGAGGATTTGGAAGGACCCAGGGACTACTCCAAGAATTACACTTTCAAATATTTGACCCTATTTTGGCACTTGATTGGGAAAAATACATACCAACTAAAAACTTTGCTGTTAAAATGTATATATCATGGGGTACTCCTCTCTGTACCAGGTATTATTTATGAATGAGGGTAACAGGAGGAGAATGGACATGGCATTTTCCCTCCTGAAAGCAGGAAAACAGTGTGTACCCTGGGTAGGGGGATTCTCCTATGTACCAGTACAATTAAAAACAAATGAGCAAACACAAAAAACTTTATCAGAACCTACTAATTTGGATTGTGTGATAATTCAGCTAAGGCTAGGTTAAAAGTTGCTTTTATACTATACAAAAGAAAACAATTTCTATAGATTTGATAATGCAATCCAAAATTGAGGAAATTCGAAAAAAAATTGAGGAAATTGCCTGAAGACTTTGAACGCCTTTACATGAGTTTTTCCCAGGGGTTATAGCAATATCAGTTGCAGACAACAAATCTGCTAGTTTGAAATTGTGAATGACCTTCATATATGCAAAGCAAGTCCCAGTGCCGGTTCTGTAGGCTTGGACAGAAAATTCCCTGTCCACTTTTTCACTTCCCGAGGGCTTTGGTAGGTATTGACATTTGGGTCAGTGAGACTTGTACTTGACTCCAGTTGTATGTGGATGCTTGCATCCAGTCTAATAGAATTAGAATGCCCTTAATGAACAGAATAATTGCAAAGTTTCCTTTTCCTAAGGACTTCAACAGTACAGTTAGTTATATAGTTACCTGACAGCGAGCCTGGGTCACTCACCTCACCCTTACGCTCTCAGAGTGACTCAAAGCCCTTTGTCAGGTATGGGAGTCCCTATTAGTCTGTAGTTCGAACCTCTTCTTTCTCAAGTCTTCTCTCGGTCCTGTGGATATAGAGTCCACAGGCATCCTAATAGGTGTTATTGGTGTGTGGGGACCCATGTCCAAGCAGACACTAGTGGAACACCGCTACACAGCTATAGAATTAAAAGGTGGCTTTAGGGGCTGTTTATCTAAAAATAGGGGTTTTGAAATGTGTTGACGAGGGAGGAAGAGTAGATGGATTTTGGGTTTTTACTCCTGACAGAGCTGCTCTACTGCTTTTCACAGAGGGTTCTGGGGCCCCAAGCTCTGAAAACCAGGGAGCCAAGTGGCATGCATTTGTCCTTGCTGGTATAGATGGAATTGATATGGGCTCTCGGATGTGCATCTTGGAGCCTGACCTCCGTACATGCCATTTCTTCCAGAGAAAGTTAGGAAAAGAAATAAGAGTTGCCTATCAGGATAATCACGCTCCGCCTGACTCCTTGCCCAGCTGTCTCCTGCTTGGAGAGGCCTAATGGGAAATTAGTCCTGGAGACTCACACAGCCTGGAGCTATTGAAGGAGAGGACACAGAGTGATTCTTTATACTGGGTTCAGTACCTCGGAGGCCTGCCACCAATCTCTTGGCCTACTGCTCCCTTGGCCTCTGTGATGTCCAAATATAGCAGGCCTGGGATTTCCCCAAAGTTAGAAAGCTTGAGTGACTCATCTCTGGGAGTCCTGGCAGCCACGCTTGGCCGGGTAGACAGCAGGCAGCTGCACAGCCCGGAGCCGCTGAGAGGCGTGGCGGCAGCCGGTCTCATAAAGGAACGGCAAAGTGGGGTCACATGGATTAGGAAAAGCCAAGAAACAGTTCTCCAAAAAGTAACATGGGTCATAAGAAACAAGTTTTGCACAGTGGATGTAAAAACACTGAATGAAATTAATAGAGGGTAGACTTCTCGCATGCTCAAAAACTGTATTTGGCATTATTTATAAATGTCATTTATTGCCAAGACACTGTTCTTCATGACATATTTCTGCACAACCATTTCTTGGTATGGGGGAAAATGTAGTATGATTAAGCTACTGTTTATCTGTAAGAAACAGGAAATGTTTCTATATGAAACAGGAAACTTGTCTACATAAAAGAGAATATATATCTCACATTTTAGAAGATTGCAGATGGCCTGTACATCAAGCAAATCTAACATAACCATAAGCAGCATAAATGACAGTCTCGGAAATGAGTAAAGAACCTTCTGTGATTAGGGCCTTGGAGAACTCATTCTTTAGGAAGAGATGCCACACTCTAGAAACTCTCTTGAAAACTTTAAAGCCAGACTGTCTACCCTGACATCACCACAGGCATGTACCCTTTCATATTAAAGTGGCTTCATAAGAAATGAGGTCATCACGATTTCAGTTGTTTATTGTGTAGTTTTTATTTTTTGTTTTTATTATTATGTAAGAGTGGAATACTTTATAGATATGAGTTTTAATGAAATAAGTCAGAGGGTGTATACATAGAATAAATTACTCTGTGTATAGTCCAGAAACATTTTCCTTTTAAAGGAAGAATTTAGTTAACCAACCTGTTTATATTATGATAGTAATTGCTAAAGAGGAGCACTTGTATATAGTCTCCCTTAGCTTAGATAAAAGTCATATAAATTCAAATGATGGTAAATTTCTGGACCTCAAGGATCAGATTCCCCTTCTGAAAGAATGGAGAACAACACAAAGACCTACTCACGCTCTGGTTGTGAGTAATAAATGTGACAATTCACCTCAATCCATTAGTTTGTAAGTATTAATAAAAAAGAAGCCTTTATTATTACAGAAATAGTATTAAACAAAAAGAAAGCTATTTTTATCTTAATATAACAATTAGAACAAGGGAGATGATGACTTACAGTTCAAGAATAACATTTGAGAAAATGAAATAAATTATATTTACTCTTTATTGAGAGTATGAATTGGACATTCGATTGTTTTAAAATATTAATTTTGAAATCTTTGGAGAGAAATATTTATGAGATATTAGGGAAGAGGAAAGCTAAATCTGTATGAGATAAGGAATTTAATGAGAACTTTAAAATATAACTTTTCTAGAATACTTAATTACGGAGTGAACAAAATAGTAATATTGTTATAATTTCAGAATTTTTATTGAAAATATAATCAATATTTATTTTAGTAAAAAGTACTCTGTAATGTTTTAGCATGCTCCAAAATACAGCCATGCATCACATAACAACATTTTGGACTGCAGAGAGGACATGGTCCCATAAGACTGTAATGGAGCTGAAAAATTTCTATCACCTAGTAATACTGTAGCCATTGTGACATTGTAGCACAATGCTAAGCTCTTGTTTTAAATAAATTGAGTAGCCTAAGGGTAAAGTTGTATAAAGACTACAGTCGTGGACAGTTAATATCCTAGGCCTTCACATTCGCTCACCTCTCACTGACCCACCCAGAGCAACTTCCAGTCCTGCCAGGTCCGTTCATGGTAAGGGTATTATGCAGGTACAACAATTTTTATCTTGTATACCATAATTTTTTATTTTATTTGTCAACTTTGCTTTACATTCAATATTATTTTATACTAGTCTCAGGTACAATATACTATAGTTTTACTATATGTTTTGACACACAAATACTTTCCATTGTGTTATAACTACCTACAGTGTCTAGTGCAGTGACTTGCTGTACAAGCTTGTAGTCTAAGAGCAGTGGGCCATCCCGTTCAGCCTAGGTGTGTAAGCAGGCTGTACCATCCAGGTTTGTGTAAGTGCACTCTAGGATGTTTGCACAACTCATTTATCAGAATGCGAAATGCAGTGTGTATTCCTGTTGTTAAGCAATGCATGACTATACTGCACATTAAAAATGTGTTATTTCAAATCATATACCAACAAGCCACAAGCAAGTACTGATATTTTATGATGTTCTCTCTATTTGGAAAGAATGTTGCTCTGTGCCTAAGGAATAGCACTACTTAGGGTTGTAATGATTCAATGAGACAATATATTTGAAAAAGATCTGTTAATTTAAAAACACTATTAATACAAAAATATTATTCCTGCCCATGTTGCGTTCCGGAAGTGCCCCTTCTGCCTGGGTGAGGCAAGAAAGGAGGCCAGCAGGTCATTGGCAAGTTGGAGGCTGATTTGGCCTTTTCTTCTTTCTTCTTACCAAATCCTATAATTATTCTCTGCCCTTGAATTGTAATGCATGGTAGATAAAATTCTGTGTCAAATGTATATTTTTAGATACATCCCTGTTATACAGAAAGCCTTTAAAGTCAGGATTAATATCATTTTCCAAAGGCAGACTGTGACAGAAATAAACAAGTCCAGAATTGTTCTTTTGTTTCCCTTTCCAAAAACCACTTCACTAAAGCTGTGCATACCCTTATCCACCAAAATTAGATTTCCCGTTACCATACCAAGCGGAATTCTTCATTAAAAATATGAATGTAGAAGAAATGCTGGCCAGCGAGGTTCTTGGAGACTTCCTTGGGGCGGTGAAAAATGTGTGGCAGCCGGAGCGTCTGAATGCCATAAACATCACGTCGGCCCTGGACAGGGGCGGCAGGGTTCCGCTCCCTATCAATGACATGAAGGAGGGGTAAGCAGACCTTTATCTTGTTGCCTTCAATATGAATTTTTAAATATGGTGATCTTATCATACTTATTATAGATGGAAGATGGTCTATTGCATTTTTTTTTAAAAAAAATAAGATATGGGTATTGTAAAGATATGAAAATGCTAGCAATTTTCTGTATTGATAAAGAGGTTATGTTAACGGTTCTTTATATCTGATGTTCCAGGTCCTGTGAAATCTAATTGTAGATCAGGATCAGCAATCATAAATTACAGCGCTGAGTCTTTTGTACCTTCTGTAGAGAAACTGATTATTTAGGACCCGGAATTTCAAAGGACATTGATGCCCCAGTTATCAGCTGAGACAGGACATGCAGAATGCTGTAACTTTATTCTAGGAAACTATTTCTTTGCCTTTAACATTCTTTCCACCATGTGTCAGTGACTGGTGGCTGAAGCGGATTTGAGACCTATTTCTAAAGCCCGGCCTTGTCATTTTCAAGCTGGGTGACGTTGGGCGAAATGCTGCTTTCCTCTGTGCCTCAACCTCCTCATTTGCTCCCATGGGGAGTTTACTCTCCCTCTAGTTTGTCACAATGGTGAAGTGCAACAGTGCTTTTGAAAGAGATTTATCTGTTCCCAAGCCTTACAGAGGTTCAGAAGCACTCCTATACCTGGGCAAACTGAAAAGTCAGTGTCAGCTAGACTTTGATCTTTAATTTTTAATCTGTAGGTTGAAGCAGATCCTATAAACACATGAGATATGGAATGAGTTATATTTTGGGTAGCATATTCCCTTTCCAACTCCTTCATTTATATTCCTGATAACATTTTTACATAGATGATATCTGGAATTACCTAGAATGCCTGAATTAATAAGTATTAAATTTAAGGACAGCTATAAAGGAGGACGTTGTTGGAAATAAGGGAAAATATCACAAGTAGACGTAACTAAAGTATGAGGGAGTAGGCAGAAGCAGGGTAAGGGCTGAGCGGTGAGCTGTCAAGTCCAGCTCACAAATTTCAGAATGAAACTGTACCTGCTATGTTACAGTAATGTGTTCTGAAGCCAGCCAAGCACACTTAGAAGTGTTGCTTTAATCTCGTTTTTTGGGTGGCTTTTTCCGTGAAAACGTAATTCTAGAATTCAAATGTTTACGTCAGAGTTACAACCTGATTCTCTGAGTAATTAAGAGAGAACTGTGGAAAGAAATGAACAGAGGTATCTCCCCAGAACACCTTCTCCAAATGGGGAATATTTTCAACATTTGTTAAAGTCATGTGTTCTATGATGATTGTCCAGACAGTGAGCGAAGATGTTGGAGGGAGCACCATGAAAGCCAGGCATTGGTAGAGGTTCCTACACTGGTGCTCTCACCTGGGTGCAGCCCTTCTCCACTCACTAGTGCAGGCCCCACCCACTGAGGCACTTTTGGAAACAACTAAACTACATTGAACTAAATAACTCTCTGAACCAAACTCCCACCTAAAACAGTGCTTCCCAGCTATGTCTAGCCTGAGACTTGTCAGTAGGCACCTTAATAAAAATACAGCTAGGTTCCAACCGCTGATTCCCCCAGGGATTCTGAATCTTTGAGTCTAGGGCTGGGTCTGAGCATGTGACTCTAAATTAAGAACGGAATTTTTGTCCCTCAAGTACTTGTTGGAGAATTCGGTCATTAGCTGACTGACCCCCAACACCTGCTAGAGGGTGGCATGTGCTATCAGACATTTGAGAGAGTCAGTCCCATGGCATGCATTTGGACCTGGTCTTAGATCCCTTCTCAACTTGAAATGCTTTCCGTGAGTTTTAATTTAATGTTAAGCCATAACCTTTACAAAGTATTCAAAAAGTCTTTCAAAATAGCATTTCTATAAATTATACCCAAAGCCAACTCTATTACCCCAATATCCCTCTACAAGCACTAATTAATTAAAATCCTCCTTGAGTATAATTCCAGAAGAAAACTTGTCCCTGGGAATGATTTTGCATATTTTCTTCAGTTGTTATCTAATGTTGTGGTAACAAATTTTTTTAAACCCCTGTTGCCTTAAATTTAGAAATAAGTCCAATGCTTAACTCATCTCTTGTGCCTTCCTTTCTTTTTTAATGGTGTATATCATAATTACTAATTTACTTAATAAACTTTTTGCCTCTGTACTTTCTTTTGAAAATAACATGGGCTTCAAATCCCTTTTAAAAATGAAATAGTGAAAAGATCAAGAGATAGGGCCAGAGATAGCAAAAGAAAAATAACCATCCCTTCCTTTTATAAAATTTTGTTTAAAAAATATACACTTCAGAAGTACTAATTAAGTACCTAAATATGTGTTCTACTTTATACGTAGCATAAGCCTCAATCTCTGATCTTTTAAAAAAAAATTCATGAAATATTTTTCTATTTCTCATGGCAGCCATAATCCAGTAATTGCAGATGTTTCCATATTTGCTATCTATGGTCGATGAGGAAGAGAAACTCACATGGTAGACCCTCAGAGTAAGCTTACAGCCAGTCCCTGCACAGCCCAAGCACCACTAAATGTCAATCATCAAGAACCCATTGAACAGCATCCCAGCTCCTCTTTCTTCTTGATGCGTATTTTTCATCCCTGCAGAACTCACTGACAGCTTTCAAACTTCTCCTCAATCTAACAGAAAACAATTATAAAGATTTATGTCAAAGCAAGTGAGCTCCTGCGAAGGAACGCTGAGCCTCCTGGAAAGATTCCCTTTCACTCGCCAGACCTGTAACCCCAGGGCAACTGTGCTCTCTCCCAGTGTGTGGTCTTGGTGCCGCTTTCGCTCCTGTCGCGGAGCCAGAGGCTAAGGACTCTGGTGGCTGCATTTAGCCTGGGATAAAGCTGGTGGCAAGAGGAGCAGGTTCATATTTCATTCTAGGCATGGCAGAGCTGCCAACCTGGGGTGAGTGATGTGGTGTAAATGGTGGCTATGAAGGGAATGATGGGGTGTGAGGATTAAAGAATATACTCACTTTTCATAAGAGATTGTCAAACCTACCACTATTTCCTCTGGTTCCCAAAGCATGTGGATCTAGCCCCAATCAGCAATAGAGAATCCTGGTTTATTCTCCTAGACAATCTCACAGAGTACTCCCTTTAATTAATGGTTTGCCCTCCGCCCTACCAAGGCCTCAGAGAGAAGTTACACTTGAGGAAGAGAATGTAAGTCAGTGGCTGCCAAATACCGCTGTGATGCAAGGTCATGATCCTGGGCCAGTCCCTGGTGCTCTGCTGAATTGTCCCCATGTTTGGTGATTTACAAGATTGTCCTTTATTCATAAGTAATGAACCTTCGATATTTTGGGTGCATTATTTTTAAATAATGTGCCTTTGATATCCTTTCATTTAGGGAATGATGGTGATAGCAGAAAGAATTTTTAAAAGTAGTGTTTAAATATAAAAAAATATTGAAGACCCATATGAATCTGTTTTTGTAAGTTGAAAAACAAATACATGAAGTCAGTGCAGCTAGATGTCTAATAACTAGTCTTCTAAGTTCTACGCATACATTCATGCTTTTCTTTCATAGTTTAGTATTCTGTAAGTATTTTTTATGGGGGAATAGTGTATTAGTCTGGGGGTACAGTGTCTTTAAAATTACAGTCTATGGCCCAACTGGTGTAGCTCAGCAGTTGAGCGTTGACCCAGGAACCGAGAGGTCATCGGTTCAATTCCCAGTTGGGGCACATGCCCAGGTTGCTGGCTCAATCTCCAGTGGGAGGCATGGAGGAGGCAGCCGATGTTTCTTTCTCTCTCTTCGTCTCCCTTTCTCCCTTTCTCTCTCCCTTTCTCTCCCTTTCTCTCCCTTTCTCTCTCTCTCTCTCTCTCTCTCTCTCTCTCTCTCTCTCTCTCTCTCTCTCAAAAAAAATAAAATAAAATAAAAACATTTTTTAAAATTACAGTCTATGTTCACAGTCCATTAGGGTGCAGACAGTAGTCAGAACATTAAACCAAAGTGTGGTCCATGCTACCGTTGAGGCTGTCATAACGAAGAGTGCTCCTCCCACGTCGGGCGGATGCCTAAAAAGGGTCCATAGAGGAGGTGAACTGGAGCCTGGCCCGAGTTTAAAATGTGAGTACAAATCAGCCTGCTCAAAAAATGAGGAAGGGGGATTCTAGGTGAGGGAACGGCTTGGGCCCTTAGGGAGAAGAACGCGTGGTGGATTTGGAAATGGAGGGTAGGGGTCCAGAAGTGATAGTTACCAAGGAGGCAAGTCCAGGCCACCTAAGGCCTTGTGCAGCAGGAAAAGGTGTGCGGCTTTTATCCTGAAGCATTAGGGACCTTTGCAGAAAATGGCTGATATTAAAGTTTTCGTTTTAGCAGGTGGGCGTGCTAAGCCTACCACATGAAAGAACAGAGCAGACCCACATGTCTCCTTTCTGCCAACAGGAGGCCCAGGAAGCCAGAAAGGCCTGGGCCTGCGTGCCCGTTGCCTCTTCTGAGAATCCATTCCTTCTCCAGGGAGAGGACTGAGCAAGCAGTGGGACTAGTAGACTCTGGAAGTGTCCTTTATTTTGTTTCTCTTCTGTATTAGATCATTTATTTAGTTTTATGGTGATTGATTGATTGCACATATGGGCAGAACAAAGAATGGGTAGGGAACAGAGGAAGGAATCGAGGCGCATGGAAGAGCTCAGGAGTACCCGGGCGATGCGTTATTTATGTAGACACATTCTACTCTAAACTGTCCTTATCTCCCATCTACACAAAATAAAGTATAAAATACATTCAGTCCTTGGACAGTTAGGTAGAAAGTACAGTCATTGGGCCCATTTATCTGGCTATTGCTGAAAAAGGCAGACTTTTAACTTACATTTTTTACCCGTTTCTCATTTCTTCACATTGTCTGTGTAAATGCCTCAGCAAATGCGTTTTCCCTCAAGGGAAATTGAGTTGCTCAAATTGGAAGAAGAAAAACCTTCATAAGGAACAAGTTCTATCTTGTGTTTACCGATTCCTGAGATCAGATCTGAGGAACCATGTTTTGATAACACTGCTTGAGAGCCTTGTCCTTGATAATGTCATATCTTTACACACATATGAATGTTTGGAAATAGATTGCTAAAATCATAAAGGTAAAAATCATCCTCATAAAAAATTTTAATTTCTATATATCAAAAAGCCAGCTGAAAGGAAAACAAGAGCTTATGAAAATGTAATTTTTGGCATGCATAATATAGAGTTATTGTTATACATAGCCTCATGCAACATTACTTTTTAAAACCAGCATGTTGAAACTTACTGGTTCTACAAAAGAAACAATATATATACACACACACACACATATATATACACACATTATTTTTTACCTACAAGGCAATTCCAATATCTACTTTTCTTGAACATATTATTTATAGCCTGTTTGTATTTTATTTATTAACTGATTTCCCAGCTTTATTGAGATATAATTAACATGTTGTATAAGTTAAGGTGTACAACATAATGACTTTATGTATATATACTGATAAAGCGAAATGATCACCACAGTAAATTTAGTTACTATCCATCACCACACATAGCTACACACTTTTTTCTTGCAATAAGAATTTTAAAGATTTACTCTCTTAGCAACTGTCAAATATTCTACTGCTTGTGTTTTTAAACTGGCAAGATGCTTTTCATTCAGGTATTTATTCTGCAAATAGGCTCCCTGAGGACAGCGAAAAAGTCTGGGTTCAAGGAGAACTATTAAGGGACTGTTGCTCCATCCCCTGTAGGAAGTGATGGTGACTAGAACTAGAGCTGTAGCAGTGAGAAGGCACAGAGTGGACAGGCGCGTATGAGAGTTCTTTCAGGGTGAATGTCAGAGCCTGATGATGGGTTGAATATGTGGGAAGAAGGACAGGACTCAAAGATGAGGGTGCTTGAGCATCTGGCCATGCCAATCACCGAGAGAGAAGAAGAGAGAAGGAGGAACAGGTGGAGGTGGGGTGGGGTGGGGTGATGATGAGCTCAGTTCGGAACGTATTAAGTTTGTGAAGCTTATGGATCATCCCAGTACAGATGAAAGTAATTTGGCAGTATGTATCAACTGTCATAAAAGCGTTTCCACTTCTAGGCATCTCTTCCAAGATAGTAACATTAAAGAGTATGCACAGAGATAGTCTTTGCCATATTATTTATAACATCAAAAAATTGGAAGCAACTTACATGTCCAACTCTGAAATAATTGCTGAATAAATCATGTGCACTTAAAATTTATATTGCCTTACATCTATAATTACAAAGACTGTACAATAGGGAGAATGTTTATGAGGCATTAAGTGAAAAAAGATACAAAATTATATTTTAGAGACAATTGTAATTAGGTTAAATATATGCATTTGAAAAATATGCTGCATAGTAGGTTGGAAAATGAAAATAGCTATCTTGGTAATATTAATTCTGTCCCTATATCCCAAGTTTTATGTAATGTTTTGTGTTGCTTTTTAATTTGAGAAAAAAATAAACTTTTCACAGCACCAAAAACATATGTTTATGCCCACTTATATTATCTTGAAGTGAATTAATTTAAAAATTATTAATTATAAATGCAAATCAGTGTCATGTTAAAGCAAGAGGACCGTTGTAAGAAATATTCATTTTAGTTCTGTATGTACAAATACATTTCACAATATCAAGGGAAAATATGGTCTTTGCTAGGCAGTTAATAAGGGAGCTTACAAGTAATTTGTTTTAAATGAACTATGTTTAAATCTTTATTGTGAAAGTCTTACATACGTCCCCTTCTTTTCCCCATTGACCCCTTCTGGCCAGCCCCCACCCCAGGCCTTCCCCAAACCATTGTCTGTGTCCATGGGTTATGCATGTATGTGTACCTGTTCTTTGGTTGATCTCTTCCCACCCATCCACTCACCCCCGCCTTCCCTCTGAGATTCAACAGTCTGTTCCATGCTTCTATGAGCTATGTTAAGATTCACTGATCACCTACATACTTTACCAATGGTTTCTCACATCTACGTGTGTTCTCAGTTTTTAATTTTATCTTCAGTTTCTGTATAGTATATACTATTTGCTTCCCAAAGGCATCATGGTTTTTGTTTAATGTTCTTTTAAAAGAATTTTCAGTTCAAATGTACAATTCACATAAGAACAACCAAATGAGCTTATGTAATCATACTCTGGGCACAGTCATCAACTCAGGGTGTGACTTCATACTTACATTGACATAGCTTTGAATTTTTGTGCTGCGCTTTAATTTTTTAAAATAAAAGCTTTATTGAGATATAATTCACATATCATACAATTCACCTATTTAAAGTATATAACTCAATCGTTTTTAGTTTATTTCCAAAGTTGTACAATCATTACCAGAGTCCATTTTAGAACATTTTCATCATTCCAACAACCCCCTCCCACATCCATTTAGCAGTCACTTACCACCACACCCTCCAGCCCCAGGCAACCACTACTCACTTGCTATCTCTCTAATTTTCCCTATGCTGGACATTCTGGACATTTCATATGGATGGAATTTGTGACTGTTTTTTTTTTTTTGCTTAGCATACTGTTTTAAAGGTTTATCCACGATGTAGCATGTATCAGCACTTCATTCTTCTTTTTGGCTAATATTCTAATGTATAAATATTCTATCTTTTATCCATTCAGTTGATGAGCATTTGTATTGTTTTCAGTTTTTGACTATTAGGAACAATGCTCTATAAACACCCGTGTACAAATTTGTGTAGACACATATTTTCATTTCACTTAGGAGTGGAATTGCTGGTCACACAGTAACTCTGTATTTAAACTTTTGAGTCATTGCTAGGCTGTTTTCCAAACCAGTTGCACTGTTTTACATTCCCATCAGCAGACTAGGAGAGTTCAGTTTCTTTATATCTTCACCAACACTTCGTATTATCTGTCTTTTTTATTAGAATGGGTGTGAAGTGGTGTCTCCTTGTGGTTTTGGTTTTTCTTTTGCTAATGGCTAATGATGTTGAGCACCTTTTCATGCTCTTATTGGACATTTGTACATTTTCTTTGAGAAAATTTCTATTTAGATTCTTTGCCATTTTAAATTGGATTTGAGTTGTAAGTCCTTTATGTATTGGGAGTGCAAGTTCCCTTATTAGATCTATGATTTGCAAATTGTTTCTCCCATTTCATGGGTTTCCTTTTCATTTTCTTAAAATGTGTCCTTTGAAGCACAAAGTTTTTAATTTTGATAAGTCCAATTTATCAATTTTTTCAATTATTGCTGGAACTTTCGGTGTCATATGTAAGAAACCATTGCCTAATCCAAGGTCATGACAATTTATTATGCCTGTTTCTTTCCAGAATTTAATAGTTTTAGTTCCTGCATTTATGTCTTTAATCTATTTTGAGTTACTTTTTATATGGTGTGAGGTAGGGGTCCGACTTCATTATTTTACATGTGGAAATCCGATTGTCCCAGCATCATATGTTGTAAAGACTATTATTTCCCCCATTGAATTGTCATGGCACCTGTGACAAATTTTAGTTTACTAAATGTAAGATTTATTTCTGGACTTTAATTCTGTTCCATTGATCTACATGTCTATCCTATGCTAGTACCACATGGTCTTGATAATTGTTGCTTTGAAATTGGTAATTGTGAGTCTTTCAACTTTTTCTTTCAAGATTTTTCTTCTGTGGGTGGCTATTTTGGGTCCCTTGAATTTCCGTATGGATTTTAGGATCAGTTTGTCAATTTCTGCAAGGAAGTCAGCTGAATTTTACTGGGTTTACTTCGTAAGTACCTATAATATTGTCACTAGGAAAAGAATTAATATTTAATTTAGAGTAATTTCCTATTTTTCTCTTTTCTTTTGAAAGACCTATATGATATTTCTATGTTCTCAAGCTGCTCTAGGATTATTTAAATGTTAATATCTCTTTTATTGTGAGTCACCTATTGGTCAATTAAGTAGAATTGTTTTCCCTAACTGCCAAGATACACAGCAAGAAAATAAATTTCACATGCCTAGTTTGTGTTTAACAAACAATAGTTTTATCTTATATTACCCTCTTAGATAAAACTTTGAGAGATCATGTAATGAGAGATCTAACAGTAGGGCTCCATGAAGTAGAAAGGCTGACTGGACTCTTGGGTAAATAGCTAATACTTCCTAAAGCTCCATTACCTCCAGGGGTGTAATTTCACAATCTTATTAAAATGCTTCAAGGGAAGATATATTACTAATAATTATTTATTATTTTAGCAATTCCATTATTTTCTAAACAATTTATTTAAGAATAGTTTTTAAATGTAAGTAATCTACTAACCATAGTAACCAGAGTAGGGACACATCATTATTTTGAATTAAAATAAGCAGGATGAAAAACTTTTAAAGAAATTAAAATAGAATTGAAAGAGTGTCTGGTGCACCAAAGTACTCTGTAAATATGGGTTGAATAAAGGGAAGGATGAAAGGAAACCCCTAAATGAATCACTGCCTTTAAAACCCAGGTCCCTACCTTGGGATGGCTCTCGATAATCCCTCAATTCAAAGGGGTAAATCCTGCTTTCAGGGTAGATTGTTTTTTTCCCCCAGTGTTTTCAATTTTCTTAAAGGATAACCTGAGAGTTTCACATTTTTGCAGCGTGTATGTCATGGTTGGTGCAGATGTCCCGTTCTCTTCTTGTTTACGAGAAGTGGAAAACCCACAGAATCAATTGAGATGCAGTCAAGAAATGGAGCCCGTAATCACCTGTGATAAAAAATTTCGTTCTCAATTTTACATTGACTGGTGCAAAATTTCGCTGGTGAGTTTTAATGCTGTTTTGGGTTTTGCAAATGTAATTAGAAGTGGTTCGCCAGGAAGATAACATTTGACTAAAACCTGAATTGCTTTTAGGAACAAATCCTGGGTTTACTTTGTTAACCAAAATTGCCTTCTCCTGCCTTGAAGTAGTTGGCAAGCTCATTGACAACGTATCCATTTCGGAAAGTATCTCCACTTTTGTTCTCAGGCTACCCTTGATTAGTTGCTGGGCTGGATTAGCTTGGCAGGTGGTCTACCTGCTCACCCTGGACATGCAGGTGGCGGCTAGCTACATCAGGATAAATTATGGAATCAGTGGGACATGTGTAGAAAGTCTCAACTATGCCGCCACGACCCCCGTCTGGAAGGAGAGATCAGAGTACAAGAATCAGTCTAAAAAGAAAGCAATATTGTGCTCTAATCCAGTGCCCTAGAAACTCACATTATAGGGGAAGTTCAAGGGATAAGGAAAACAATTCCAAGTGAGGAAAGTTAGAATTTTACCCACAGCCCCAGAAATAGAAAATACTCCTTTCTAAACAACTTAAGTGAGCACACTAAAAGAGTTAGGAAAATGTGGGTATGGTTTTATATATATGTAAGATACATATATAGAATGTCTTATATAAAATTTATATTTTTTGATCCTGCTTCTTCGGAAAAGGAAAAGTTGTTTGGCTTCTTTAGTGACCTTTAGATTTAACTTCTGTCAACTCTTGGTGCTCAGTGGTGACTGACTTTGAAGTTGACATCTGAACAAAGTTATTGGCACATAAACACAACTGTCACTGCATGCCTTAGAGAACCAAATACAGGCAACTTTCCTGGGTCCAGGAGGGGAGAGCATCTTACGTTGTAGCACTTACACCTGTGGCCCTTGGCCAGGGCCTCTTCTTTTTATGTCGCTTGTGTCTTAGGAAAGTAATGTTCTTTCTCTGCCTGCTTAAATCAAGGAAAATTATTAAGATGGTATGGTTTGTGTGTTATAGATAAGTGTTGAATTTACAAAGCCCCGTATTTCAATCATGGTGCTCATCATACAAGGGTACGGAAGACGGAGTGGTTGCATTCATAATTTAAGTACATGCCTCCAACCAGAATCAGTAGACAAAAAGCGGGCTCTAATAGGGCCATAATTCTTGTGCTATGCTGCAAAATGTTTATGTTTAAGAACATTAATTTCTAAAGGTTTAAAAGTGATGTGCTTTGAAGCTTTTAATGTTTGTGGTAAGACTTTTTAAATACAAAGGTTGTGTTACATCTTACCACAGAAGACTTCAGGGGGTTTAATTGAAAGAATCAATGAATAAGCAGAATAAATGAAATATAAAAGAAGTGAAAAATTAGCCTAAATTTTACCCCCAAAAAAGTAAGCCTCGCTCGGCCAGTCTGGCGTGGTTGAGTGTCAACCCATGAACCAAGAGGTCCCTGGTTCCGTTCCCGGTAAGGGCACATGCCCAGGTTGCGGGGTTGACCTCCAGTAAGGGGCGTGTAAGAGGCAGTCAATCCATGTCTCTTTCTCATAGATATTTCTATCTCTCTATCCCTCTCTCTTCCTCTCTCTCTAAAATCAATTAAAAAACCCATTTTTGTTTTAAAAGTAAGCTTAAGGTCAAGTTTGACAACGAGCCTGCTACTGTCTAGTATTAAAAAAGGAAATTCATGTTATTTAATTCTCACTCTGAAAGGAGGCAAAGCATGAATTCCTTGGCAGGAAATAAAGTTTTTACAAGCACTGTATTGTTAACAAAATTCTTCAAGTGAAGTTTTTTGGAAGAGGATATTGAAAAATGCCACAAATAATTCTTCCCAACCTTTTTGTGGCAGGGCGGGGAGCAAATGTAGTAACAAATTTCACATGGCTAGTTTGCAGTGGTTTAAAGAAGCCCTTGACATAATTAAATGCGACTCAGTGAAAGCAGGTCCATTAATGTGGAGGTAAATGAACAGAGCACCAATGTGCATTTTTTGATTCTGGGATAGAATTTAGTAAAACGATTGCGTTGGGTGGGTTACATGTACCTTAGACTACCTTTGCAAAAAGCTATTTCTGTCAACTGGATGCCAGAAAGATCAAGGTTGTAATCATTGAGAAATTGCCTCTCATTTTGTTTCTTTTCTCTTTTGCTAACCATGGAAACTATACCCACATACCTGGTTATCAGCAAGCTTATGGTTTGTTAACATCTGCACTAGAGGTTTGTCATTAGGAAATTAGAAAATTACATAGTAGTGTGAAGGACACAAGTACATACACACATATGTATGTATGTATGTATGTATATATATGTATGTATGTATGTATAGATAATGAGAAGGACATGGAAAGTAGGCCAACATAAAGCCTTCAATGTATTACTTTTATTCATTACTCCTTCCCAGCTCCCCTAAAAAATTGCAAGTTCAAGGTGATAATGCGCTTACAAAAGACTGCTTTGTAGATATTTGTCAAAAGAATGTTTGGTATGTCTAGATCTTAAAATCTCATAATGTTTGCAGTTATTAATTTGATTTGTAATTGTCTTCTTTTGTATCAGGTTGATAAAACAAAGCAAGTGTCCACCTTTCAGGAAGTGATTCGCGGAGAGGGGATTTTACCTGATGGTGGAGAGTACAAACCCCCTTCCGATTCTTTGAAAAGCAGAGACTATTACACGGATTTCCTAATTACATTGGCTGTGCCCTCGGCAGTAGCATTGGTCCTTTTTCTAATACTTGCTTATATCATGTGCTGCCGACGGGAAGGCGTGTGAGTACTTTAAAGACTAATAAAAAATTATAGAGCCTACTAGGGTAACAACATATAAGATTCCATTAAAAGCCAAGTTTCATTTAATTCATAAAACACTTTATAAATGAATTGAAGTTCTGTTCAAGTCAAACTATAGTACTTTATCCCTTTAAAAATGAATTAAAATAGTTTGGAGTCTAATAAATCAAATTAGGGGATATAATTACTTTATTCACAAATTATTAAGGCTAGATGTAAATTCATGCTGGCAAAAACAGTCCCAACAATAATGGAGGCTGCATATTTTGGTTATAGAAACCACCTTTGTATAATCAGAGACTTAGGAATCTATTGCCATGGTAATTTCACTTTAACTAAATTGTCTTAGTTTGATCAGGAATGATGGTCAACATTCTTCTTGAAATTGTTCTATTATTAAACAGGGTGACAATCTAAATGTTTAAATATATATACCCATATATATATAAACGTAAAGAGTAAATTAATGAAAAATAAGGCTATAATTTGAGTAATGAGTATTCAGTTCATGAATAGTTAGTACTTTCAGAATATCTGTGCCAATTAAAATAATCTCCCAAGATTATTGGGAAGTCAGGGTAACAAAGCCAAGGACAGAAACATTAACAAAGCAGCAAGTAACAAACTTCCATTTTCACATGTAGCCTGATTTCATCATGTCATACAATTTATTTCCAAGAGCTTGATTCTAATCTCCTTTTTTTTTCATGTTTCTGTATGTTTCTCATCAGTATTCCATCTTTGTGTGTGTACTCATCCAAGTAACGTCATGACCCTGGTGGCAAATGCTGCCTGGTGGCATTTAATAGTAACAGTGTCAGCATTTCCACGTCATGCAAGATCCCATGAGCATATAGTCTTAATGTTCCAAATATCAATGCTATTATTTAATTCATAAATTTTGTTTTGTTTCTAGGGAAAAGAGAAACATGCAAACACCAGAGTAAGTGTCTTCTTTCCTGTTATTTTCTGTATCATTTTTTTCACTTCTCAGTTGCTCATCATGCTTCTTACATGTGTGTCATGCTTTTTCCCCCCATTCATCATCTTTCATAGTTTATTTCATAAATGTGAAAGCTGCTTTCTAAATAGAGATATTTAGGAGGGGTAGAAACTAAAAATTTTAAAAAAGGTTTTGAAAACTAAGATTATTTAGATAAAAACTAAACCTAAAATATTTCAGATTCAGAATATTAACTTGCCATTGATATTATGTGATTTCCCAATCTGCATTCCTATAAAGCAGACAACAGATGAAAAGACCTTTCATACACGTTTTCCTGAATCTACAGTAATAACCTACCATAAAATGAAATTTCTGTGAGTATTTATAAATGCCCCATCAGAAGCAACAGTATAAAAGCTCTGGTAGTTTAATCTTAACTGTAGATAGTTTAACCTTAAATAGACTGCTGGCTTGTTACTTAGGGCTGTAACATTAACACAGTGCTTTATAGCTTAGTTTAATGAAAGACACATTTAATTAAAAATTAATATATAATTTTCAATTTTGCTGTGTTAAAAATATATGAAACGTATCTTTTTTAGAGATAATTTGTAGAAAGCCCAAAGTGCAATAATGTCCTCCTCTTTTAAAAGTAAAAAAAAAAAAAAAAAATTAAAAAATTTTTTCAAATTGATGACCCATTGAGATAATATCTGATGTTAAATATATGTTGTTTTATTTCTTTTTGACCTAGCATCCAACTGGTCCATCATAGTGCTATCCAGAAATCTACCAAAGAACTTCGTGACATGTCCAAGAATAGAGAGATAGCCTGGCCCCTGTCAACGCTTCCTGTGTTCCACCCTGTGACAGGGGAAATCATACCTCCTCTCCACGCAGACAGCTATGAGAGCACTAACATGCCATTGATGCAAACACAGCAGTAAGTATCCACTTGGCACAGTGATTATTCATATGCATGAATGTGTCTAGTTAATGTCTGTAAAGACCAGAGCTTTTCATTATTGGAGCATTTGTTTATTTGTTTGTTTGTAACAAAGAGAAAATACCAAAGGTCATAGTGTAGATCCCAGCCCCACTGTGCTGACCCAAATTAATAGAATTACTTTCAGGGAATGCTGTCTTTTTTCTTCAAGAGGAATAATCCAAACAAGGTGACATTTACCTTAATATTTAAGAAATTGACACGGCTAATAAACTAACGTAAGTTTGTTCAGAGATGAGTTAATTGTGAAAAGCGAGGCATATCCTAAAGCATGACAAATTATTTTTTAGCGCTATTATTAGAATTATTTGGTTCTGTTAACCTATTGCTTTAATGTTATTATCACAGACTGATTTAATCTAAATTGTTTTTTTGTGATCTGCTTGTATATTAGAACAAGTAGTTCCAATAATGGCTAAAAACACAGCGTATTAGTGCAGACCTTCTCTGTTGTGTTAGAACTATGGTCAGAAAGCCTGGACAGATGAGTATGGCGTAGGATGAGTGAGGAAATTACCCCGTTGCTCTTAGAGCACTGTGTGACATGCCTAGATCAATTTTGATATAAGTGAATTGTAGGTAAAACTGTCATTTATTTTTAAGAACGTGGCTTTTTTTTTCTTTTTTTAACCATATGTTAAAAAGGGTTAAATTCAATTTCCCCAAGGAAGTAACAAGTTTGATTTTGAGGTCTTTTTCTTCTTCTTCTTCTTCTTCTTTTTTTTTTTTTTTTTTTTTTTTTTGTAAATAAGAATGGATATATAGAAAAGTTCTCCTTCCACAAATATACATAAACCTTAGGATATGATATGAAAGTAACTTCTTAATAGTTAAAGATTTATCTGGGAACGGTGCTGCATGCAGACATTTTCCCATTGTGATGGTTATTTTGTAACCACATAAACTGCATTGGATAACTTGAAGATTAAATAGTAATTACTATGAGTGGTATAGACAGTCAGACTGAATACATTTGTCCAAAAATACTTTATAAATCTAAAAATATTGTATTTTTCTGAATTCTTCTATGATCATTTACTTAGTGTTGAATGGGCCAAGGTGTGTATCTGCATGTGTGCATGAACAACTGACTCACATCCTGTTAACAGTGGGGAAAATCGTGTGATTTAAAAGTTTGAGTTTTGGAGACATTAATATTTTATCAGGAATGTAAATAGTAGAGTCTTTCAAAGTTGGGTTGTACTGAATGGAGGGGATGGATTTCTGTGTTCTCTGTAGGTTGGTGAGTCATCACAGAACCCACTTTACTAGGATTAGATACTAATGAGAAAATTTTAATAATATTGTGATAGTGTACAATTTAACAACCTCTCCTGCATTTTTTTAGGTGAAAATTATGAACAGCCTTATCACTCATTTTCAAAATGAAAAGAATTCTTTAAGGCTACCATTTCGTATATTCTTTACCCAAGAGTGCTAGTAAAATCTATACTAATAAAAGACAAAGATGCTAATTGACCATACCTTCACTATGCCCATCAGCCAATCAGAAGAATATGTAAATTAACCCAACAAAGATGGCCATTAAATTTGCATACTGAAGGCGGGGTGGGATAGCGCAAGCCGCCATCTGGGCCTCCCATGTGTGACCCGGGGCGGCGGGGTGGGACAGTGTGAGCCGCCACCCGCCCCGCCGCCATCCATGCCTCCCATGGATAAGCCAGCAGCCCGAGGGGTCCCAGACTACGAGAGGGCACAGGCTGGGCTGAGGGACCCCGCCCCCCTGAGTGCACAAATTTTTGTGCAACGTGCCTCTAGTGTTTATATATATTCTAAAAACCGAAATGATCAAATACACCTGAGGGAGAGATTTGTGTTCAGTTTCTTAAATCAGAAGAGTTCTCAGAGCCTTTAATGTCTTGATATGCTTAAGACTCCATGGGGAAAGGTCAGAAGATGGGACTCTTTAAAAAAGACAGTTTGGGAGATGCTTCTATTGACAATATAACAATACTATCAAATTTTAGAATAGAGAACTATTGGGGATGAGTAGGGGAACTTGAATATGTTTGTAAAAAGCTGGTGAAATTTAAGGGAGGGGAAGGGTTGTACTATTTTTTTTTAGATATCCTTTCTAACCAGAGAATAAGAATAGTTCCTTAAAAATGATTTTGATTTCTTTTAATTAGGGTTTTGCAATGTTTCTACTTATATACAAGCAAAATAAAATTTTCTATCTAGTTTACAACTAAATGGATCTTCCTGGTCTCTCTATAACTCCATGAGGACTGTCATTATGTTGATCAGATCTCTTTATCTGTAAATGCAATAGGTTATTTTATTGAACTTGCAGCAATTTGAACCTATATGTATTTTTAAGTCCAGAAAATATTCATATTATTCAGGGTTCTGTTAATGGCAGCACTCCATTAACTAGTACTTCTGTATCAGTACGGTACATAGGTAATTGATGATGTTCACAATGATTACTCTGAGACACTGCGAGGTCATCAAGTGCATCTGACTCATCAGAGGGAAATTAAATTACAGTCCGTGTAGTTTCAGTATTGAATGTATATTATCTTTCTTTTATTCTTGGAAATGGATAAAATGTGCATGGTCTCTATGGCAACTCCCTATAAGCTAGAATATGTGATTAACCTCATTTTCCAACCAAGCCAGATAATAAGAAATTTATTGTATCAGGTCCATCACAGCTGTCCTTTATGCAAATTCATCTTTTACCCCTTGCCTTAAAAGCATAGCCCTGTCTCTAAAGTTCTGTTTTGGTACCAAGTACACGCATATATAAATATTTTGGTCATTTGAATCTAACTGAATTCTAAACATTAAAGTGAGATATTTGATAAGGAATTATAGTACTTGATAATTGAGTATATGCGTGGATTATGCTGCCTGGTATTTATTAAATTAATCCTTCCTAAAAGAGCATGCATTTCATCTTCACATGTTCATATTAACTGTATCTATCCCTCATAAATAAGTTGGCTAGCTGCTGGATTTTGTGTTTATTCTTCAGACTCACTACCAGAAATATTCAAGCATAGGGTGTGACTTCTAGGCAAGACTCAAGAACATTTAAATGCTGCATAAAAACTTACTTGGGTCTTTTAAACAAGTTAGTCCATGAGGTATAGAGAACTCTATAATAGTGTGCAATGTGGAGCTGACACAGTTTCTTATCAATTATACAGTTATGTTTTATTGTTTGGTGTGTGTGGATTCTTTCTTTCTTCCTTTCTTTCTCTTTCTTTCTTTCTTTCTTTCTTCTTTCTTTCTTTCTTTCTTTCTTCCCTTCCTTCCCTTCCCTTCCCTTCCCTTCCCTTCCCTTCCCTTCCCTTCCCTTCCCTTCCCTTCCTTCCCTTCCCTTCCCTTCCCTCCCTTCCCTTCCCTTCCTTCCCTTCCCTTCCCTTCCCTTCCTTCCCTTCCCTTCCCTTCCTTCCCTTCCCTTCCCTTCCCTTCCCTTCCCTTCCCTTCCCTTCCCTTCCTTCCCTTCCCTTCCTTCCTTCCCTTCCCTTCCCTTCCCTTCCCTTCCCTTCCCTTCCCTTCCCTTCCCTTCCCTTCCCTTCCCTTCCCTTCCCTTCCCTCCCTTCCTTCCTCTTCCCTTCCCTTCCCTTCCCTTCCCTTCCTCCCTTCCTTCCCTTCCCTTCCCTTCCCTTCCCTTCCCTTCCCTTCCCCCTTTCCCTTCCCTTCCCTTCCCTTCCATTCCCTTCCCTTCCCTTCCCTTCCCTTCCCTTCCCTTCCCTTCCTTCCTTCCCTTCCCTTCCCTTCCTTCCCTTCCCTTCCTTCCCTTCCTTCCCTTCCCTTCCTTCCCCTTCCCTTCCCTTCCTTCCCTTCCCTTCCCTTCCCTTCCCTTACCTTCCCTTCCCTTACCTTCCTTCCTTCCCTTCCCTTTCCCTTCCCTTCCGTCCCTTCCCTTCCCATTCCCTTCCCTTCCCTTCCTTCCCTTCCCTTCCCTTCCTTCCCTTCCTGCCCTTCCCTTCCCTTCCCTTCCCTTCCTTCCTTCCCTTCCCTTCCCTCCCTTTCCCTTCCCTTCCCTTCCCCTTCTTCCTCCCTTCCCTTCCCTTCCCCATCCCTTCCCTTTCCCTCCCCTTTCCCTTCCCTTTCCCTTTCCTCCTTCCCTTCCCTTCCCTTCCCTTCCCTTCCCTTCCCTTCCCTTCCCTCCTTCCCTTCCCTTCCCTTCCCTTCCCTTCTCCACAAATTAGACAGTGACAAGTGTTTCATTATTTGCAGATGACATTGAGATTGGATTATGTACCTATCTTGGTCAAGTCAGGGATAGATATGTGGTCCTTGAGAAGGTCAGAAGGTTCTTTCTCTGATCCAGGTTGCAGGCAAGGTGACTGACCAGACAGTGGAAAGCAACTGGAGATGGAACATGTGCTCAGAAAGGAGGGATCTTATTTGTGCAGAGGTCCTGTCCTTCTCAGATTATAGGAGGCAAACAGCTGGTTAAAATATCACAGAATAGAGAATATGTAAGGTAAATTTAATATGATCTTTGCTAATGTAGTTATTATTTAATAACATTATTTTGGAATGGTTTTCAAGGTACTAGAAAAGTTGCAAAGATGTCCATTTACAGTATTTTATTGTATTTGTTACAACTAAGAAACCAACACTGGTGTACTCCCCCTTCCTTTCCCTCCCCCACATACTCCCCTCCACCCCCATATTTCACTAGTTTTTTTCTCTAAAGTTCTTTTTCTGTTCTAGGATTCTGTCTAGGACACAATAATTGGCATGTTCTTAGTTTTCTCTGGTCTGGAGAATGTCTTACTCCTTCCTTGTTTCCATTGATCATGACAGTCTTGAGGAGCACTAGCCACATATTCTGTAGAATGTCCCTCATCCCCTAGTATAATCAGGGCTTCTGCATCTATGCTTCATCAGTTATCTTTGTAGTTCAGTGAATAAATGTTACCATTAGGAGTAAAAAGAATTTTTTCCTCTAT